TTTCAAGTAAAGAAAAGTTAATACAATACCCGAGGTGATGTATCACGTTGCAGACTAGAAAAGACAATCCACATGATATATGAACACAGACATCACGCTCCTTTTCAGATAAAGCACGGAATAGTTATAGTATACGGAACATTAGGCGCTAAATCGGCAGAAACAGGAAGCCAACTGTGTGTTTCTACAGACGCTTCAGTTTCGAGATGGCTTCTAACTAAGGAAATTTCACAAAGAAACTTGTTTATATCTCAATTTCTATTTGTATCATATTATTTTCGTATACCTTTTATAAATCGTCACGTCAAGTAGAAAAGTAATTGATGGATGATGATGGATTTCGATGGTCAAAAAATCTACCGAAAAAAAGGAAAAATACAGAGCGCGAAACCTTAAAGTCGGTGAACTTTTCAATTGAATTTGGGTTAGGTCGAGGTCAGGGAGGAGTCCAAAGGGGAGAACGTTGTACGACAGGGACAGGACTAAGATGAATAGGGATAAATTGGTCCTCCAGACCGCGGATATATTTTTCCCGCATGGTCCAAAGCCCTCTTGAAATATACCCGTCGCAGACGATTTATTTAATAATGGCCCGACCACGACTCGATCGCAACGCAGTAGTAACACACTCGAGAGCCCGAGCCCGACTATAAATTTCAGTTTTTTTAGTTCACTCTTGAGCAAAGGTAGGTCCCACTTGAAAATCTCAAGGATCGTTTGGTTACTGAAGACAGTGCCAGGTTTTATCCTTGGATTACTAAGGCGTCAAATGGAAATATAGATAGTAATAATTTTTATCAACATATAAAATGGGTTTTTAGTAATCTTATTTCTGATTCTTTTTTTTATGATTTCGTTTATGTTGAAGATATTTGTTATCGCGGATTTTCTGCACTTGTTGCTTCGTTATTACTTTCGACATCAAGAATTTTCCTTTCTATGAGAAAAGGTTTTCCAAGGGACCGAGCATCTCGTTCGCGGTCAAACAAGTTACTGTAGAGGGCGGTCGAATTTCCTGTATATTACTATTACATCTCAAAGAAACCATTTTGTCGAATGGATGGAGCGTGTGATAAGAAAGGGATTATGAATATACATATAAGCAAAAAAGGGGATTTTATCTTTTGTATATATTTTCCTTCTTGAAAAGATAAACTTGCCAAGTTAAATGGCAAAACTTGCATTGGGAATTTATAAAGATCTATCTGAAAACAACATACTATTCAGATGTTTTAGGGCCATACCCGGAATGCTTAATAAAAACTTCAACTCGACGGTTTGCCGTTGGACTCCAAAGAAGCGGATTTTCAAAATATCTTTTAGTTTTTGAGATATTTTTAAATATACAGGGTGTCTCAGCGAGACTGGTCATTAGACAGAAAATAAACTCGAAAGAACGATGAATAATTAAATTTATTAATGTAAATTCGGTGCTATTGACAATTTCGAACGCCTGGCGTTCCTCATCAGGCACGACTACGAGAAACAACAAATAAAGATTAAATTAAATTTGTACATATGTGGAATTTAAAATTAATTGATCAAAGAATCCTTACAAATCTTAAAATAGTTACAAGTGAAACATAAAAAATATTTACCGTCAAACGAGGAGCATCAAGTTGAGGGTTTTCAGGAATACATTGAATCTTTGTAAAATCATTTATGAGATTTTCTCCAATGAAATATGAAAATATTGTTGAAAAACACCAAAAACTTTTCCGTGTATAAATTTATAAACTGATGGGTATGAGTAGGTACAAGAAGTTGTAAAAATTATTTGTGTATAATCGTTAAAACATTAAAGATGTGAATGAATTTAAAAAATATAATAAAGGATGTCAAAACTTATCCCGAACGTTAATAGGAAATGAAATATATTTGATTGAGTCCGTTCAGGCTGGCGTATTGAGGTGGACTGAAGGTCAAGAGTGCAACATGGAAAGGTGAAAGTTGGGGGAGTTGGTGGGAGTAAAGTAAATGTAAATTGTGATGTTAAACATATTTTAAAAAATTTCTGTAATTGTAATTGTTGAAGTCTGTTAAATCATTAAGAAGTATGTCGTCTTCATTATATTGATGAATAAACAATTCTTCATAAAGGTCGAGTTCTTTTGACTTCTTAATGTTTTTTAGGAGTTTTAAGTTTTTTAATGTAGTTTTGTGTTTTTGATTGTGTATGTGTTTGTAGACGGCGGATGATTCTTTAGTAAGATGTTCCCTAAATCTGGTGGTGACATTTCTGCCTGTCTGTCCTATATATAATTTATTACAATCACCACATTCTATCTTATATACACCACTTAGTTCACCCTTTTCAAAGTTGTGTTTATTATTTATCAGGATTTGACCAAGCTTATTGTTAGTGGTAAAGGCAGGAATAATGTCAAAATTATCTAGATTTTGTTTAAATTTGTATTGGAGGGAAGGGTTGTAGAGAAGGGAAATAAATCTATATTTTTTCTTAAAGTGAGGATAGATAAGGTTGTTTAAACGTGAAGCGTGTACTTTATTGTATATTCGTTGTAGGTCCCTTATATTAAAATCGTTATTTAGGCCAATTTTTAATATCTTCTTAAGTTCGTTTAAATAATTATCTTCATTGAGAGGTATGGAGCTGAGACGGTTAAAGAAAAATCTGAAACTCGCCTCTTTGTGTTGGTTACAGTTATATGAAGTTATTGAAGAAAATTATTATTTATTCATCGTTCTTTCGAGTTTATTTTCTTCAATACCTTACGATGAACCCGGAATCTACAATTTCTAAATGTGAAGTTATGGTGCTTCCAAATTTCGAAAAGTTAACGTGTCATACTAATGTGACCAAACGATCTAGACAGCCGTTCTTGGCACCAAAACATACTCCATCATGTTGTTTAAGCATGTTCTGAATCCTAAATTGATATCTCAAAAATCGAGTGTTCTATGATTTTTTGAACAAATGTCCGCTGGAGCAGATTTTTCTAGAAAAATTCGA